CAACCAAACCTATATGACCGGAACAATTATACAACCAGCAAAAGGAGGGATGCCATCCGCAGGAGGATTTAAGCAACGTCCGATGTGCCCAGCAGGGGCGAAAGGGGAAATGCAAGCAGCAACAATAGGTAATTTATCAAAAGTTGATAGGCTATATGGAACATAACTTACTGCCCACTCAATGAATACAATGTGATGCCCCCAGTGGTAAGTTGGTTTATAACCCCATTAAGTATAGTTCGGTATATCTACCATAAGTCCTAGCAACTTAGCTATCGAACGAGGGGGCACCACCTTGTAGGTATTCAGCACAGGATTCAGCGCACATCCCGGCCACCAATTTGCAGTCATGCTGCTATCGAAGATGTATTCCACCTGCCGTGAAAAGGTGAAAATTCGCAGATGATGAGCAACCAGCCTCTAGTGATTTAACATACCCTCTGGTAAACTAAGATAGCTATTGAAAATCACCATGCTATGAATGGGAAAATCCACTATTTCGACTGGGCCATTTTCAATAGCTATATATGTATGTTTACCAGGCCGGGTAGCTATTGAACATGTAGCATTTAGCTACCGTTGATGTAGGGTATCATCCCCTCATGGATGGCCAATTTGCAGCTCGATTTTCCCATTCAGGAAATCAACGTCAGCTGAGGTTTGAAGATGTTGCACATGCTTAGTTCATCCACCTTTTTCGTGAATTGAGTATCAAAGTTTGTGCCTCTTCATTGGTCAAAATATCTTCTGCTGCGTGGTTCCACATATTCCAATATGTGCCAGAGCTAAAATATGGTCATCCATCCCATAATTAATGGACATACGTGTCATCGGTATATAAATCCTGTTGATGGATTGAGGCTTCCCATCCCTGAACTTTTGATTCTAGTTGAAGGTTGAAGATATGTCTTATCAAAATTTATCAAATACTGCCCAAGTATCCCATTCAACCAGCATTCTTTGGGTTTTGGACATTAAAAAACCATCTCCTGCTGATCTCCAGCCTTCGATGCCAGTCCTTCTTGTTGCAACCAGGGCCAGAGTTCGTGGCCATTCCACACCTGTTCCCGGTAGTTGCCTGGCCAGCGTGGCCGTTGGCATTGGAAGGTTCTCACCTGCATTGCTTTAATAGAGTCTATCTGGCTATCTTTTTGTTGTAGACATTAGATGGCAGTGTGTCAAAACCAATAGTACCCCTTCTGTTCACATCAAAATAGCTGGGATTTATGGATGTTCATCCCCCTAAAAATGGTATTTTTATAGGTATTGATCCATACCCAGATCACAATCTGTGTAACTTGCTGAGTCCCCAGGGTCCCCAACTTCTAACCTTAACGGTGCCTGAAAAGACACCGTTCCTTTCGCCCTGCGCCAAGGTGCTATTGTCAACAAAGGGACAATCGTAGGTCGATGCCAAGGTGATGACAAAGATCCGATCTGAACCACGGCCTGCAGCCAGTGGCACCCTGAAATCCTCTATGATAACCAGTTAATATATGGGCACCAAATAGTTATAGTAACTATCATATAGATTCATATAGTAATTATGGGCACTAAATGACCAGTTTGATTAGTTACTATACTTTGGTCATCAAACTGGTGATATATAACAACTATAGTAACTATGGGCACTAAATGACCAGTTTTAGACTTTGGGCACTAAATGTCCCATTTCGAATATCACCAACCAATGGGTCAGTGACTGTTGGCGCCTTGTAGACGCCCGTCATCATCCACGACAGGACATTGAATCAACTTCTCCCTGGCGAAAAAAACGCTCCGCTCTGGTCATCTCAACATAGCTATGGAAAAAAATCCATTTCTAGATTTATGCTTATTTACATATATATATATCTTTATACATATATATATATATATACAGTATATACTGTAAACCATAGTAATGTTCCATAGCTATGTTAAATAAAGGCTATTTCCAGCTCAGTCATCCCTGGCATTTTCCGGGATTGGGGGAAACATCATCTGATGGTACAACATTTGGGGACTAACAGCCACATGGGTATGGATCAATACCTATACATACATTTTTAGTGGGATGAACATCCAGAACTACCAGCTATTTTGGGGTTCACTAGGTACCAGGGTCTTGACCCATCCCCACATCTTTGCCAATTCGATTCGGTGGACGGCTTTGAGTCATCTTCAAATTTATGCGGAAAAATGACGATTATCAGCTGAGATGGAAACTAAAAACTTGAAGATAAACAATGATTCAGGCCACCAACCAGATTTTCACTAAACTGGCCATCAATTAGGGTGTGCATCATTTGTGGACTAACAACCAATTGGTCAATCGCTTCATTTGTGGACTAACAACCAATTGGTCAGTCGCTTCATTTGTGGACAAACAGCCAAGAGGTCAGTCTCTTCATTTGTGGACTAACAACCAAAAGGTCAACCTCTTCATTTGTGGACTAACAACAAATAGGTCAATCTCTTCATTTGTGGACTAACAGCCAACAGGTCAATCTCTTCATTTATGGACTAACAACCAAAAGGTCAACCTCTTCATTTGTGGACTAACAACAAATAGGTCAATCTCTTCATTTGTGGACTAACAACCAATAGGTCAATCTCTTCATGTGTGGACTAACAACCAATAGGTCAATCTCTTCATTTGTGGACTAACAACCAATAGAACAATCTCTTCATTTGTGGACTAACAACCAAGAGGTCAATCTCTTCATTTGTGGACTAACAACCAATAGGTCAATCTCTTCATTTGTGGACTAACAAGGGTCAATCTCTACATTTGTGGACAAACAACCAATAGGTCAATCTCTTCATTTGTGGACTAACAACCAATAGGTCAATCTCTTCATTTGTGGACAAACAACCAATTGGTCAATCGCTTCATTTGTGGACAAACAACCAAGAGGTCAATCTCTTCATTTCTGAACTCACAAACAAAAAGGTCAATCTCTTCATTTGTGGACTAACAACGGTCAATCTCTACATTTGTGGACTAACAGCCAATAGGTCAATCTCTTCATTTGTGGACTAACAACCAATAGGTCAATCTCTTCATTTGTGGACTAACAACCAATAGGTCAATATCTTCAATTGTGTATGTCATTTATTGACCACATTGAAGCACAGATGATCGGTCATATTTTTTGGGTAAGCAAATGCAAAGAAGCTCATTAATACCATATTATGGTGGCTTGGAACAGATAATAGTCATGATAATGTAACCATAATTATGGGCTCATTAACACCCATTTGCAGATGACTTGGTTATCACCAAGTCACCCACAGATTGACCGTTTTGAAACAACACGCGTTGTTTACGCGTCGCTAAGGGGTTGGGATGCATGGAACGGAACTCAAGTCATTTCTTTCGAACATGGCCCATTCTGCATGTGCATCCCAGTTGGGATGTGGTTAAGACATGTTCAGAACCCTGATGTTACTCAATTTTGTAGTTATATAATTTTACAAATATATAATCATATACCTATACGCACATATACATCTATATATATATATAACAATATATAACAAAATCATATAGTTACAAAATTGTATGATCATATACTTATATTTCTAATTATATGTACTTATATGATATTGTAGGACCAGTTATACACCACTTACGTTGCACGCTGCAGCTCTCACCTCAGCCTCTCCGGCGGAGGATGTCGAGCCATTGTGGCCTCGAAATCATCCATGGATGGAGGTTTTAATTAATGGGACAATCCACGAGAAATTGGAGATGTTTATAGCACTTTATAGCGATGACATCTATATGTAAAGAAACTTATAACTGAAGCTCCAATGTTATGTAACCCTTTGAAGATAGCAGGAAGAGAAGAGCTAAAAATACATTCATTAAAGTAACATTTAACCCTCCTTCCAATTTACTTTTAGAAAAGTACTTTTTTTGGACCATTTTGAGATGATTTTTGGGACAGCCATGGGAACATGTTGGACCCATGGTTCCATGTCCAAGTCAGGTAAAAAAATCGACTGAAGAGGCCACCAAGCAGTGGCATCTTGAGCCCGGCGCCTGATGACACACGGGTTGTGGCATGAAACCGAGGTCCTCGTAGAACTTGATGGCACACCTGCACTGGACACGCGAATCATCAAGATCACCTGGAAATCCCATATAAATCTCCACAACTTGGGACATGTTTTCTAAAGTGAAGAAACCACCCATGTCATTCTGGTAAAGGGAATGTGATGGAGTTTTTTTCTACCATATATCGATATGCATCAATCCTAACCAGACTTCAGAAAATTGATGTCACAAAAACTTGACACCCAACTGAGTTTCAGAAAATTTGGAATGTACCTAATCCATCCACATCCTAAAACCATCTAAAAGCCAGAAATTGAAGTCAGAAGCCAGCCTCACCGCTTCCCATGGAAACGGAAGCGAAGGTCGGTCGCCCCCTCGCTCGCCCGAGCATTTGAAGAAGCTTGTGCCGATGTCCTCCGTGGAAACAAATTGAAACATATGGAAACATGAAAAAGATCCAACGATCATCAGGGTTTTCAATGAACCCATGGGAGTTGATGAACATTGATAAATCCTGGGAGTTGATGAACCGGGAGGTGACTTGTGACGACTTGTTACACATCAATGTTTATAATCTGCCGGGAAAAAAGTGCTACAACTGGCGGTTTTCCCAATTGTCAGAGGAGTCCACAGAAGGAGTGGACCAAACCAATCCACACGTCCTGCCAATGTGTGTGTGTGTGTCCAACACCTGGGATGTTTAATCTACATATCTAATAGCTACGGTATGGATCAAAACAGGGATTATTTTGAGGTAGATTTCACCACGATATTTCTGATGTTTGGGCATTCACCATCATCAAACACCATTGAAAATCACTGAACTTCATTAATCACGGTTCAACATCCTGAAAAAGATCACTATAGACATCATGAAACATCATTGACTATTACACTGAATCATTACACGGCATCCCACATTTTTACCCGTGCCATCCATGTCATCTCTTCACAACTCGTTCTTCGTCCTCGCAGTTCAACACCTAAGGTGGGGCTAGGGGGCGATGACTCATATCTAGCCACCAGATGCCACGATGGAAAATCATCTAGAAATCCATGGACATAATCTATAAATAGAGGAACATCACCTATAAAATGGAAAACATCAGTTTGCTATGGAAAATCATCTATAAACGGCCATGATATATATATATATATAGCAGCAAACTCTTCAATTCCTGCAGGGTATTAGTGGTGTGTGTGCAACAAACCTGCCCTATCAGATCACCAAAAAAGTCAGAGTCATCAAAACATTAACAAACTCTACATGACATCAAGATAGCATCATAATGTCACCTAGCCTAGATTTGAGCCAACCCTTTCACAACCAGAGTCACCCATCTACCAACCGAGGTTGCACGATACATGCCATGAACACCCTATTTTGCGGGATCAAATTGCCGGAATCTCATCAAATCATATCTTCCAAATTTCCCGTTCCAAGAAATCAACTTCCACCACCCCAAAGTCTTGTAAGCAAGGCCAAGGTACAATCATGGGCTTGTCAGATCTCGAGCCAGCTTTGGGATCAACCTCCAGTGAACCAGCTTTCAAGTCCACTTCCCAGCTTTCGGATCACCAAAAATTCAAACTCGTCAGAAACATTCACAAACCCTTTGCATCACATCTAGCATCATCTAGCCTAGATTCTAGATTTGAGTCAACCCTTTCACAACCAGAGTCACCCATCTACCAACCGAGGTTGCACGATACATGCCATGACCACCCTATTTTGCGGGATCAAATTGCCGGAATCCCATCAAATCATATCTTCCAAGTTTCCCGTTCCAAGAAATAAACTTCCACCACCCAAAAGTCTTGTAAGCAAGGCCAAGGTACAACCATGGGCTTGTCAGATCTCGAGCCAGCTTTGGGATCAACCTCCAGTGAACCAGCATTCAAGTCCACTTCCCAGCTTTCGGATCACCAAAAAGTCAAACTCATCAGAAACATTCACAAACCCTTTGCATCACATCTAGCATCATCTAGCCTAGATTCTAGATTTGAGTCAACCCTTTCACAACCAGAGTCACCCATCTACCAACCGAGGTTGCACGATACATGCCATGAACACCCTATTTTGCGGGATCAAATTGCTGGAATCTCATCAAATCATATCTTCCAAATTTCCCATTCCAAGAAATCATTCCACCACCCCAAAGTCTTGTAAGCAAGGCCAAGGTACAATCACGGGCTTGTCAGATCTCGAGCCAGCTTTGGGATCAACCTCCAGTGAACCAGCTTTCAAGTCCACTTCCCAGCTTTCGGATCACCAAAAAGTCAAACTCATCAGAAACATTCACAAACCCTTTGCATCACATCTAGCATCATCTAGCCTAGATTCTAGATTTGAGTCAACCCTTTCACAACCAGAGTCACCCATCTACCAACCGAGGTTGCACGATACATGCCATGAACACCCTATTTTGCGGGATCAAATTGCCGGAATCCCATCAAATCATATCTTCCAAATTTCCCGTTCCAAGAAATAAACTTCCACCACCCAAAAGTCTTGTAAGCAAGGCCAAGGTACAACCATGGGCTTGTCAGATCTCGAGCCAGCTTTGGGATCAACCTCCAGTGAACCAGCATTCAAGTCCACTTCCCAGCTTTCGGATCACCAAAAAGTCAAACTCATCAGAAACATTCACAAACCCTTTGCATCACATCTAGCATCATCTAGCCTAGATTCTAGATTTGAGTCAACCCTTTCACAACCAGAGTCACCCATCTACCAACCGAGGTTGCACGATACATGCCATGAACACCCTATTTTGCGGGATCAAATTGCCGGAATCTCATCAAATCATATCTTCCAAATTTCCCATTCCAAGAAATCATTCCACCACCCCAAAGTCTTGTAAGCAAGGCCAAGGTACAATCACGGGCTTGTCAGATCTCGAGCCAGCTTTGGGATCAACCTCCAGTGAACCAGCTTTCAAGTCCACTTCCCAGCTTTCGGATCACCAAAAAGTCAAACTCATCAGAAACATTCACAAACCCTTTGCATCACATCTAGCATCATCTAGCCTAGATTCTAGATTTGAGTCAACCCTTTCACAACCAGAGTCACCCATCTACCAATGAACACCCTATTTTGCGGGATCAAATTGCCGGAATCTCATCAAATCATATCTTCCAAATTTCCCGTTCCAAGAAATCATTCCACCACCCCAAAGTCTTGTGAGCAAGGCCAAGGTACAATCATGGGCTTGTCAGATCTCGAGCCAGCTTTGGGATCAACCTCCAGTATACCAGCTTTCGGATCCACTTCTGTCACCATCCCAGCTTTCGGGTCCACTTCCGGCACCCCCTTTTCGCGTGTGGACTGGCGGCATGCTGCAGTCATGAGGCCTGGTGGCGACAACAGCTTCTTGGAGATATAGTCATGGTAAGTATGTATATATTGTATTCACAGTTATTTGTATATTTAATATATAGCCTCGTCCCCGCTTCTGGAACCGCGCAAACCTGAATTAGGTTGGTAAAACTTGTCCATTCCATGACGAAATTTCGTCGCGGAATTAACAAGTTTCATTAGGGTCGTTATCATCATCATCATCATTACATCATCATTACATCATCATTACATCATCATTACATCATCATCATCATCATCATCATCACATCATCATCATCATCATCATCATCATCATCATCATCATCATCATCATCATCATCATCATCATCACCCTTCACATGAACGTTAACATGAACGTTAACATCCCACCCCACCCCCCCACCCCGCGTGTGCGTAGCATCCACTGCTGCCGCAAGTTCACATGAACGTTAACATCCTGCCGCAAGGTCACATGAACGTAACATCCCACCCAACCCCCCCCATCGTGCGTAAGCCGCAAGCAAGTCACATGAACAGTTAAACGATGACGCGTTGAAACATCCCACCCACCACCCCCCCACCCCGCGTGTGCGTAGCATCCACTGCTGCCGCAGTTCACATGAAACAAGGCAATTTTTAACATCACTGCCGCAAGGTCACAAGAACGTTAACATCCTGCCGCAAGGTCACATGAAAGTTAACACCTGCCGGAAGGGTAACATGAATGTTAACACCCCCCCCCACCCCATGTGGTTCCAGAAGCGGGGACGAGCCAATATATACATATAATACATGTCTATAATGTGTATATATGTAATAATATTACCATGTATATAATGTGTATATAAGTATAAATATGTATATATATATATACACACGTATGTATATTTCACTATATTACAGTACAATGCATGCTTTCGTGAAACACACAAAACCTCTGTCAAAAGTATTGCTACCAGTCTGTTCTCAGTTTTCACAAGCTGCTGGTTAAAAATACATGTGCTGAATGTGCAGGCTTTGACGGAATCAAATGAAGGCAGTGCCTTGGAAACCGTAAGAAGAGATTGAAGTTGCCCTTTAATATCCTTGACTCCCACAGAAAAAATGCCAACTACCCTCTGGTATTTTAACATAGCTATTGAAAATGGCCCATTCACAGTGGATTTTGCAATTCAAATGGGGATGTTCCAGTTCGCTATGTTAGGTTACCAGAGGGTACCCTTCACTATCTTTCCATGGCCGAATGAGGAAAATCCACCTTCAGCTCCACAAACCTCTGATTTACACCAACAAAACTAACAAAACATGATGCCAGATGATGCTAGATGTGTTTAAATTTCAGGGTCTTGATCTGCATCCATATGTTGATTCCCATAATGTTCAACATCCATATCATATTGGCTTTGTATCCCACTACTGTCCGGAACTATATCTAGCCCAAATGATGCCAACAAAAAATCAAACATGGCCCATGGCTCAGTGGCTTATCACTTTGCCTTCCACGTTCACCCTTGGGCCGTTTATCCGTGGTAGGGTACCATTTCAGGAATCTCTCCCCATCATCCCACACTCCCATCGCCAAACACCATGGAAACAGGTGAGTGAATCCAACGAAACCCCATTCTTTCCATAAAAATCCATGGAAAACACAGACATATTTCAACGTGGTTGTCCCAATTAAAGATTCTTTAAGCCTGGATAAATAAAAAATCTGTTGATTCACTCACCTGAATAGATTCCTTAGATACTTCGGCTGTGGGATGATTTCCCTCACCATCATCCCAGTGAGGTTTCCATCATGAAACATCTGCTTTACAAAAAACCCATGCAATGATGATTATTGAGAACAATTACAATCATCACCGGGTAATTCTATAATATCAGTTCCCAATCACTAATTAATTATCATATGTATTCTAACAATTATAATGGTTATATCATGTTATATCGTTACCTATGATCATGGTGAATCTTTGATGCCCTGACAAAAAACTCTATTAACGATAACGATAGCAAAATATTAAAACACGTTGACAGATTTTGATAGTACACTAATAGGTATCTTACCAATGTTTAACCAGTAAATTCAGTGTTTAACCATTGCTAAAACACATTGATAATTGATGTTTAACCAGGTTTTAGGAGTTTTAGGACTCATGAACGTGAATATTAACCAACATATTAAACACCAGGTGTACATTCCCAATATATTATGGAAAGTCATAAAATTCCATGGTTCCAAACCACCAATCAGAGGTGTACTATCAAATCATCTATGGAAATATAGTTGGGATGATGGCATTCCCACCAACCAGAAATCATCTTATTGCACTAAACTACCCTCTGGTAAACATACAAAAAGCTATTGAAAATGGCCCAGTCGAAATAGTTGGCATTTTCCCATTCAAAATGGTGGATCTTTCCATCGTTTTTTTGTATGTTTACCAGGCCGGGTAATCTTCAGCGCCTGGATCTGCCGTCGCGACCGGACTGGGCCTCCTGCGACCGACATGGGAAAAACCAGGGGAAAACCGATGGAAAAGGCGGAACAATCCATGAACAAAAACATAAATAAATATATAATGATATATATATATATATATATACAATTATATACATGAGATGGTGAATCTTTGATAGTCAGCAAAAAATGTTTATCTTTTTTCTGGTGATTTTTTTTTTTATTTTCCACTCTCATCGGGGGAAAACTATCCAGGATGAGTTTCTAGCCATCCAAGGTTGAGGATGATGGAAAAACACCATCGGAAAATCATCAAAAACGTAATACAAAAAACATGGACATCCTGACATCTTTTGAAAGAGATGTACATGTTATATAACTGTCTACTATTCTGGGCGTGTTTTCATTTTTGTCAACTAGATTGTTTTCATGGATACATTCGATCTTCGGCCACTTTGGGACAGGCGAAAAGCTGGATGATTTTTGGACTAGCAAAAGAATGTTTTTCCAGGTGTGGATAGCCCAACAAAAAAACCTGCTCAGATGTTGAGGCCAGTTTTTTTTTGGTGGTATGTCATTCTAAGCCATCTAAAAACATGTTCGTCAGTTGGAAAATCATCCCAGGTATATAAAAAGGAACATGGGATTTCCAGTGGAACATCTCCTCCGATTTCCATGGATTCGATATGATTTTCCCAGCTATCACCTTCCATTTACTTCGAGGATTTCCAGTCGGATTTCCCCAATGATTTTCCGATGATTTTCCCATGGATTCCGCAGATTTTCCCAGTGGAATTCCAGGCAGCCCGCTCTTGGAGGCACTGGGCAAGACGCAGACTCTCAACTGTCCCGGCTTTGATTGCTCCACAAATCGCCAGAATTCCTGTGGCATTTCGCAGAAATGCCAACAGGAAGCGATAATTGGAGGTACCTATCACATATAAGATCTATTTTGCAGGGCGATGTTCCAGGGGATATACCCTCAACCTATGGCCTATGGTACAGTAGCTCCGATCGCTGGGATGTGCCTCCTGGCTACATGGTGGATCTAAACATGGAGGTTATGATTTTTGCAATAGATTCATCTGGCATATTATCATCTATAATGAAGCAAACCATTAGGGATTCACCATGGATTATAGTTAAAACTTAAACGCCTCATAGATGGCTTAAAAACCAGATATATACCAGATATACATCAGTTGTAAGCACTAGGTCAACACAAATCGAAGTAATTAGTGCCTGCAAGTCGTGCCCTTGGAAGGCATCCCCGATACTCATCCATACCTGCGTTTTTTTACAACGTGGCAACGGGACATCCGGAGGGTAGATTTGGTTGCACAATTAGACAGTGCAACCCATCTCCCATGTGTAAATACCCACAAGAAACAAAATGGTTTATGGGGTTACCCTCTGGTAATTTAACATAGCTATGGAAAATCACCATGTTGGGAAAATCCACTATTTCGACTGGGCCATTTTCAATAGCTTTTCGTATGTTTACCAGAGGCTAAATATGAACGGGGGATGAATCATTCTTCATCCAAAAGCCATCCCATCAAATCCCATAAAGAAAATCCTCATCATCCAGCGCCTGGTCAGTGGCGACCTTTTTTCCATTCACAGAGGTTACGACATCCTGAGGCTGCGGACAGTTTTTTTTTTTTTTAATCTGTTGGTATATATATGGGGTAAAACATTATATATAACAAATGATAACAAATGATAAATGATAATGCCTGATTTAGAATAGTATAGAACATACTAGTTATGCCCATAAATGATATATAATATTGAATAACTAGCAATGATAATAAATGATAGATAGCTAGTAATGATAATAAATGATATATAACAGTATAAAACAAACTAGTCATGCCAATAAATGATATAAATAACTAGAAATGATAATAAATGACAACGATACATAATGATGATATATTATCATACTGATCATGACGATCATGATGATCATAATAAAACTGCTGCTATTACTAATAATAACAATTACCAATTGCCAATAGGAAAAATATCATGAAAACATACATAACAAATAATAAGTAATAGACAACAGATAATAAATAATAATTAACAAAAGAAATGCCAACCATGATATGAGCCATGGTCAATACTCACTATATGCTTGATGGTCATCCCATCCATAATAAGGATCCAAAAATCGTGGTTATTATAAATCCCGAGTGGAACCATTGGATGACTAGCCCCGTTTTTAATGGTTAGAATCTACCGACTCTTTGGGCTTAACCATGTGACATGTTTCCAAAAAAGGCCCTTGGTGTTGTGAGCTGGTGGATGTTGATTCCTCCATAGAAATAACGAGACTTTTTCATAGCTTTTGACCCATCCCCAAAAGGTAAAACCATGTAAAACCATGTAAAATATGAGTCGAGGTGTGCTGACCTTCACCAAAGCAAACCTTTTTTTTCGTTCGGAATGCATGCCACTTAGCTGTTATGAAATCAACCTTAGGTACGATTCCAGCAGTCAAATCTTCTAGAGATTTTTGGCAATCTAAGAAATTGGAGGACCCTCTTGCGTCCCATCTCCCTTGTCTTATAAAATGGACATAAAGTGTGGTATTCCCCATTTTGAGACCAAGTTTCAATGACAAAATATGGGATCATCATCTACAAATGCATGAATTTCCATTGCCAAGTCAAATTGCTGGAGGAAGATGCAAAAAAACTCTGGGACTTTCATCCATAGCATCTGGATTGGATCATTAATATTTCATGAGATTTTTCAATTCACCACATGAAACCACATGCTTATCCCATGCTTTCCATCAGGAAAATCACCCTTAAAAACAAGGATTCATTCCCATAAGTTAACTTATGTATTTATGTTCTGAGAGGCTTCAAAATTTCGAACACACATTTGATAAATAACAGAATTGATTTATTTAGATATATTGAACATGAAGATTTCCATTGCATTCCCATTAAAATATTCCAAATATAAACATCATCCTGCGACCCCAGTCGGACAAGTCTCCCCCCATAAAATAACTGGATTTGCCAGCTTGATACGCTTGATGACGCCGTATACGGTATATCCTATTAATATCCTATGGAAATATCTCATTTTTACATCCATATAGCATTAATGGGTCATATCCATTAACATCCAGAACAATGGGTAATAATGGGATCATATCTCATTAATATCCTATATTTATGATCCCATAAAATTAGCCATAAATATCTCATACGAGTACTCATGATGAATGATTTGCCGAACAACAGCATAAAAACCCTCTGGTAATTTAACACAGCTATTGTTCAAAGGCCTTTCCGAAATAGTTCACAAAAACCTATGAAACATGGTGATTTTCCAGTTCGCAAACTCTTAGTTTACTGGAGGGTAACTACATTTTTCTTGGGTATATCCCATGAAATCTCATTGAACCCCCATTTTCCCTCGTCAAAAATCACCATTTTCCCAATCTGTCGCCAAGAAAGTTGACCAAGTCTCCCCCCGCATCAAGAGATTTGCTGCTCGTCCCTTCACGACAGTGGACTCAACCCGCAGGTCCTGGCAAATCATGGGAAAATCATGGGAAAATCATGGGGAAATCATGGGAAAATCATGGGAAAATCATGGGAACATCATGGGAAAATCATGGGAAAATCATGGGAAAAGATGTCGGAGAATCGATCAACGGAGGAGTGTTGATTGAAAATCTATGGTCTCTTCATAGAAAAAATGCAGAAACCCTCACAAAGGACAAAGAACCAAAGGTGATAGGTGAAATGTGTGAAAATCATTGAACATCTGTGGTACCTTCCATTTTTCCCATATTTTCCAGGCCATGAACCCCTTGAAGGGTCACCGAACCGCATGGGGGGTTACCAGGTAGTGTACTCTGTGGTACCTTCCATAGAGGTTCACGATGACCTGAGGATGCGCATAAAAAACATCGATATTTCATGGTTGAACATATCGATCATTATTCAAATAATTTCATAAATCAATAATTAATTATAAATCATTATTGATATTGACATGAGGTGTGGAATCAATTTCTTGTGGAAATTTGTGGAACACGGGAATGTCTCCTGGATTGGTTGTCGATTTTCGAGCTCCCTGCCCTCATCCGACAAACTGAAAGCATCGCAACGCGAAATTATTCGACATCCAACGATGGATGCCCAAAATCCTCCAAAATTGGTTATTATCAATGGGAAATAATGGGAACACCAATGGTTTGGGGTACTATATTAGAACTTTATGCTCGTTCCATCGGGTGATCTCTGCATGTAGTTTACATATGAAAACATTCGCCATTTCTTTTCGCATGCCCGATCGGGAAAGCCTAATCTGGAACACATAAACATATAAACATATCTAATATGATCTGTAATATATGTCATATATAACCTAATCTGGAAATATAAACTATTACAGGCCATGTTTCCAAAGCATGCTGTAGCATGCCACCATTCATGCTGTAACCATTTCACCATGTCAGTACCTATCCACCAGTACCATTATTCTTTCTCTTTGTCTGAACATATTTGGTACATCCAATTCCAATGACAGGTATATAATTATATATATGGAACATGCGGAAAATCTAATTCCAATAATGTACGTCTCTATGATGATTATGATAATCTATAATTCTCAAAATATGTCCCAATCATCCCAATCATAGATCTATGAAAAAAACATCTAAGTTTCCAATATATCATTCCAAACATTAATTTCCAATATATCATTTCCATAATATATTTCCAAATATATATATATTTCCAATAGATATAGCTATGTGCTTGGGAAACTCTTTTTGTAGCTCCAAATCGCTCCCTCCTAACCCGCCTGCAGGGACACGCCCAGCGAGTCCACCTATGGAAAAATGGACACATCAGGGAAGAACATCTAGGGGAAAATCCTTGGAAAATATATGGGTTATGGGTATCAATACCTATTAATACCTATAAAAATAGCATTTTTAGGGGGATATTCACATCCATAAATCCCCAGCTATTTTTTGATGTGAACAGAAGAGAACGGGTACTATTGGTTTTGACACACTGCCATATGGGAACATCATAGGAAACCCCATTCTAAATGGAGGTTCATAGCAACTATTGTTGGGGAATTGTCCAGCAAACCATGTGACTGATGACACCGGAGGGCATCACCAATAATCAATGATAGCTTTAGTACCTCAAAATGCTGTGAAAAAAGCACGACATGATTGCCATTTTTGAACAATGGTCAGTTAATCTGGCCGTGTTATATGGAAACCAATGAGTATACATTCGCCGTTGGAATGGGCTTCGTTCAGATTTGCGGTCCCGCCCCACATGGATAAGTTTTTCCTAGACCATTTTTGACATGCTTCAAAGATTTCAATGTGTCAGTGGGCTGCGGTTGATATAAAAAGGTTGATAGAAAGGCACCATCCCCTGCTTAGAAAGGCAGTGGGACATCCCTTGTTGATAGAGGAATTCACCAATTGATGATCTATGGTCAGGTATATCCAGGTAGCCTATGCTAACTGAATGCATCAATGGTGCTTTAAATCTAAATCCCACTGTGATAGATGTTCTTAACATATCTATCCAATGACTTTGCGCAGGAAGATGCTTAGACACCAGAGACCACCAAGCTCTGCTTGCACTTGAATGATGTGGCATTCCGTATATCTGCATAAACGGATGCCCAGGTTCCAATGTTTCGTGCTTCATCTTTTCATTTTGCAAAATTCCAACGATTTCAATTTTGAGGCTCAAATCCAAACAAAAAAATCGATTTTGATGGAGAAATCCCAAGGGTTTGGACAATTTTCATGGTCGAATCTCACAAACTTTCAATGGTATCCACCAGTTCCCCAGCCTCCTTGAAGAAGCCGAAATCGATGTCGATCTCGCAGGCCTTTGCACCTCCGGGAAACTCTGCCATGGTGGATTTCAGCAACTTAATCATGATACCCTGATTAATCCATATATATATAATATTAGTATGTATATATATAATTATCTATATATATAATATTAATATAATATTATTGTTACTGTATTATTATTATTATATATATAATGGGGTATACATCAAGATTATCATATTTGGTACGGTCATCCCACCATCATGGGGATCCACACGTAATGAGTACGTTTTTATTGACCCATATTTTTCTGGGGGTGTGATGATATCCATTTGGATCCATTTGGTAGAATCCCTTCCCCCATCAATATCCCCAAAGGGGAGCCCCCAAATGAACAAATCCGATACTGAACAAATGGGTTGATAGGGGGGTATCGAAAAAAATACACACAAAGCCCCAGGTTTGCCCAAGCTCCAAATACCAGTCACACTACATTATCAAGCATGTTCTACACCTGGAACAATACAATAACATACAATAACAATCAATAACATACAATAACTCTAATTGTTAGGGTTTACATGAGCTTTAGGGTTGTTTAGGACTTAGGCTTTGGGCTTAACTTAACGCTTTCGGATTGGCCCTGATCATCACCATCATCGGCGTCCAGGCGCTCATGGGCAACATCTGGGTCGAATCTTGTGTCACCACATGGCACACTATAAGGTACAAAAACCGGCATTTCCCTCAATTTATGGTCAAGAATAATGGGGAAAATTATCTCCTCCATCATGGACTGGAATGGGTACCCTATTGTCCAAATAAACTCATATAGGAAGGGCTGGGAACCCTGGAGTTTTCCACAAAAGAATACCTGCCTTAGGGTGACGGGGGAGCAGTGCAAAACACTAATGGCAGTTGATTAGCCCCTCATGATCTTGTCCCGCAAGAATCGATGCTTTGAAGATCTTTCCTTGTCGAATCTGCATGTAGATGTCGTTCAAGCCAAAGTTTAGCGTCTGTTTTGCCACCAAACAAAACCATGTCTGCGATCTTTGTCCCGACAAAAACAGGCCCATGCATTTTTGCCTCGAAGCAAGTGTACCAAACATATTTCTAGTGGGGGCTCTTGAAAAAAATATGTCACAAATCATTCAAGCACACTTCAGCATCAGCTTGACTCCGCCAAACACTCTGGGATTCCTTACAATTAATGGATACCAATGGCTATTTATCGACCCCTTATGGAGGGATAAATTTCATCCTCGGGAAGTTACAAAATCCGATCCGATGGCCTTGACGGCGACTCGGAAGTTCTCATATTGTAGCTTGGTTGATATCCTAATTTGGGTCATATATATATGTATGTATAATTATGTATATATATATATGTATGTATATATATATGTATGTATATCAATATAGATATGTATATATATAAAATATATTATGTACATATACTACATTATACTACAGTAATATGATATGTGTCCCCGTTTCCCCAATGTCATGGTGACATCTAACTGACTCGACTTTGTCAATTTCCGCGTGAATTTCTCGGGTCAAATGCTGCCTTCAATGGCTTAAACCCTGACTTTGATGGTCAACTCACCATCTTTCATGGTCAAATCCCACTCTTTTCATGATTTTTTATGGTGACATATGTAAAATCGTCATTTTCTCACGGCGAAATCACATAGAATCTCATAAAATCACCACTTGAGGATGATTTACTCGCCATTTTTTGGACAAAAATCTGGTGTGAGTTTTAGTCGTCCTCGTTCCTTCTCAAGATGGCTGGCACCTTTTGGCTCCCGCATGGAGTTCACCCCCTGCCAGCCATGGACTGGTTGGTGGTTGACCTACCCGACCTGAAAAATGATGGAGTTCGTCAGTTGGGATGATGACATTCCCAACTGAATGGAAAAATAATCCAAATGTTCCAAATCACCAAGCAGTATATAGAATGATACAGAAAGATAAAGCGACTTTATCAATGACTTTATGAAACATGTTACGTATGAAAGGAGTTGAACATTTTGACATTGGGCTAACAACACAGGGGAGATTCTAAGCAACACTCACCAAAGAGGGGACATAAAAATCAAACAACACAAAGCCACGAACAAGAATGGGAGGCTTAGCCAACAGACATCTTGTTGGTTGAGCTACCCATCCTAACAATATGTGTGAATCTTTGTGTGTAGCATCCCGGGTAAGGTTCACATGCGAACTTTGTATTTTCTCGCAGTTGAAATCCTGGCAATGTGAATGTCAAACACGAAGTTTGCCATCAAACATGCTGGAGCTCGAAAATCACTTATTTAGTTCAATGATGTTCCATTCTGTGGATGGTTGCGAAATCCTGCACCAGTTGGTAGATGGTTTGTCCCATTAAAGTCCAAGTCCAATTATTTACACTTTTTCACAGTTACCAGGAGTTAGCCTGCCCGGCAAAGCCCCGGCTCACCTTGTAGCCACTGTCCAAGTGCAAAGGAGAATTCCTGCTGAGATCAACCCCAAGAGGAAAGGACGCTTTTTTTGGTTCTGAAAGGGCACCCCCAAGAAGATAGCCTCTGGTAAGAAAAAAATATCGACATAATTCTACTGGCTGGTGGTATACCTACCCCTGTGAAAAATATGAGTTCGTCAGTTGGGATGATGACATTCCCAATATATGGAAAAATAAAAAATGTTCCAAACCACCAACCAGTCTACATATATGGATACAAATGGCAACTTTTCCATTGCCACGTTTGATGATCGAAGGGTAGAAAAGCTTACTGGTGCTAAACATAGAGAATGGGGGAGGGATGCAATCCACAACGATTTTCACCATCATCCCATTCTCCCATTCCCTACTAAGCACCAGTAAGAAAAAGACAGACTAGAATAAATGGTCTGAAATAGTGGCAAATCACTTTTCTATCTTAAGGTCCTATATGAGCCTATATGTTACTACCAGTAACATATAGCTTGCCAAAACTGTGGCCATCTCACGTCCCAAAGATTTCAACAAAATCTCAGGCATCGCGACGCTGGGATTACCCCCGCGACGGAAAATGCTGGTGGCTGGTGGTTATTGCCACCAAGTCCAACAATTTGATGAGTGATATTCACTATTGATGGTGATATCACTATTGCAATATCACCATGTAAATGTTTGGCTAATCATGTCAATGGTGATATTCACTATTGATGATTGGGTGATTATCAATGATACTTGGTGGCTTTTTGATTCTTAAATATTATGATATAATCATCTTATCAAACCCCACTTCTTGGGGGGCGACCTTTCAGAATCTTTCATGGTGGGGAGGCCGACCAATTCATCCCAAATGATTGAGATTAGGGAACTACCACAGCTGACTCGGTCTTTCACCTTTTCTTCGGAGCTCGGAACGTCTCGGAAGATGTCTCTGATTTATGCCATCTGTTAAAAAAAAATCACTCATTTTTTGGAACACCCACATTTATTACATACCCTCTGGTAAACTAACATAGCAATGGAAAATCACCATTTTTAATGGGAAAATCCACTATAAATGGCCATTTTCAATTGCTATGTTAGTTCACCAGAGGGTATGTAATAAATGTGGGAAACTTGCTGGGAACTGCTGGGGATTGTCCGCCGCCAAGCCCCATTTTTCTCCTCGTCTTGGCCGAAACCTTGACGCCTTGAAACCTGCGCCTTGGCGTTTGGCGATGCCGTTTCAAACATGGCCTATGGCCTGATTGCCTGCAAACGAGTGAATTCTAGTTGTGTGAATTATAACAACTGTACTTTGAACTTAAACTTTCCATGTAAGTAACTATAAATCTATATATATAAATCTATTCAAGAGATTCTACCATTTCCAACAGAGTCATGGCAAAATCAGAAGTCATTCACCTACCCAAGGTTTATGCAACTATATTCATGGAGACTAAGGGATAGGAGTTGTGATGGAGCAACATCGGTAGCTCTCCATGGAATTGAGGAGGTTGAGATCAAATTGTACCATACATAAGCGGCTTTTCTGCATCAAGGATATGTATACAGAGAAATAAAATAACATATGATGCATACAATCTGGACAACGAATTAACAAAACGCATGTCTCGATATGTCTCGATCCCACAGCGCCTACTGGGCCTGGGTGTTAACTAGGACTCTGCCTCTGCCCGAAGTGATATCCAGTGCAGCGCAGGTCACTTGGGGAACAGCTCTTTGGTCTGTTCTGGCGCCTTTCCTGGCGATGAAAGTTTCTCCTCTCCGCAGTTGCTACTCTGACAGAGCCTGTACTGAAGGTCTACATTGCGGCAACGTGTTTCAAACTCCACTTGTTGACCAAAATGAAATTGGTTTCAAACTCAACTTCCGAAATGAAATTGGGTTTCCAAGTGATAAGCCAAAAACAAGGCTCCAGTGCTCCAGTTGTCACAGAAATCTGGGCACCAAATCTGCCCTGGGCACCTGAACGACCTGGATCACCAAACAGCCGCTGCTTCTGCTGCTTCTCGTGCTCTCGCCTTGGCAACACCACCCACCCACCGACGTGGCGACGTCCGACTGGGGCGGAAGGCAACATGAAATCAACATGAAAATTATGAAACAAACAACTCATCAACTCCAAAATTCACAGAGACCCACAGAGTCAGAGAGCTAGAAGAGCACATGCAAACAAATCAACTAACCATCAACAAAAGAAAGAAAAAACTCAAATTTTCCGTGGAACGTTGGGAAACGAAATCAAGGGGGATCCACCAAATACAAGCGATGCCGCGCCCGCCTGTTTCCAAGACCCCCAATACAAGGGGGGTAAGCCGGCTAAATATAGGGGTAAAATGGCAACTTTTTCTCCCTGTGGCAATCATATACCCACGTATAAAAGTTATAAAAGTGCTCAAGTTCCATTCTGAACCCCCACGAAAGGTGGATCACAGTCTGGTGTCAGGTAGAGGCACTTCTTGTTTCCTCGGCTTTATCCATCAGAAAACACCAAACCAAATTTTTGTTGAGATATCTGCCCATTTTCTACTGAATTTTGGTTGCTTCTATTCTCCATGGTGGTGAAGAATCTCCCATCTAGGCAATTCATGGCAATTCTGTCCGCTGTTTCTTGGCCTGGGTTATATCCCGCAATCTAGTGGTTCCTCTCAGGTCTATTCCTCATTTCTCTTCGGTCTTGGCATAGGAAATTTCCTGCCCCATTTGGGCATGGGTCACAGTCTCAAACCACACATATTTGGTCAGCTTAAGTACTAAACCAGTCGTCATTTTTCACTTACTTATGTTTGACTCACCCCGATTTAGGCAAGTGATGTATGGAATCATCTGATGGTTTCTGGTTTCCGTGTTCCCAGAAACTCCTCCAAATGAAGTCGTGTAAAAATACATCTCCATGTATTGCACTGGTACAAATTGAAATTACAGAGAAAAGTAAACGTCTAACGCTTTCCTCAAAAGATGGAAAAAACACTGTTCCTTACAATTTTGCTGGTAAATTACCCATTATGCTTTCCCCAGTTTTCCCTGTCTTGATTCAAGGGGAAATCCACAGCCCTGAGATTCAACCACAGAAAAATTGTGTTTTTTTTTTCCAATCTTCCCAGGGATGAACTTTTAGATACCCAGATTATCCAGATTGTTTTTTTTTTAAAAATCATGTTGAATGATTGGTGGTTAATCCATTGATCCATTGATCCATTGGTGGTGAATGATCCAATGATTGCTGGTTGAATCCTCATGGCCCAAGAGTCCTCGACATGGTCCAAATGTATGCCAAACTATACCATGCATGGAGCTGATGGGGAAACTATATCCCAAGTTTTGCTGGCAAATATTCAACTTTTGCTATATATGTACATCCCATTTTCGTTGGTGAAATCACCATTTCTATTGGGTAAATCCATACATCTTGCATAGCACCCCCCCCAAAAAAAAGAAAATCTTAACCTTACCACTATAGCTTTGAATCGGGGGGTTTCACGTGATTTTACCATAAATGCAGCATCTAACTTTTCGGGGTTGCTACAATCTGTACAGTCAGTAAGGCATTAGCTTTTCCGCAGGTTTCCCAGTTTTCCGCTTGCCAATCATGTGTGCCATGATTAAAAGCTGGATTATATGCCCAAATTAGGGGAAGGCCATCAGTCTGTTTCATAGGGATTTGTATATCAATTGATAATTGTTTGTGCATTCCCATTATGCGGATGGATAACCACACCCCACATAAGACATACCATGGCACATGACCATGGCACATGATCGACACCCCATTGTTGATGATTAAACCCATATATACATCATGTCTAGTGGCCCTATACCTCCATTGTATCCTATTTTGCCTCATCATTTTTTCCCAATAAACATCATTTACTAATCCGTTGTTGATGGTTAAACCATTTTAATCCACTAGTCTTCATGCTTAAGCTCCTATTTTTCATGGTCAATTTTATTTTATTTTTCATGTAACAACATCTATGTTTCCATTTATTATGGCAATATATATATAAATATCTATATCTATATCTATATCTATATATATATCTATATATATATATCATAGCCCCATTATATTGCCATCTTACCCCCATGAAACCATCATGTTTCATCCTTTTTCGCTGCTTTCCCAACCTTTCACTGCCGAGCCGCCAGCCCTGTACAGCTTGGACCGCCACCAGTTGCAGTTCCTCCTCGCTGCGGCCGGCGAAGAGCTGTCCAGATTCCGAGACAAAGGCAGCCAGGACGTGGGGCCAGTTGACCTGGCACCACAGGATGGATCAGCATGGGGAAATCCAGTGGAGCGAACGCGTTCAGTTGAACGTTGTGGCTGAATATGCTGAATTCTATGGTTTATGGTAGATATAATAAATATATTAAGTATAACATATTATAACTATAGAATACTATAGATAACAAACTTAAACCAACTTATAACTGGGGGGCACCATCCTGCAAAGATGGGCGGATTTTACCATGGTAACCATGACAGCATAACACATACAGTAGGGGATTTGAAGTGGGACAAGTTTTGGGGAGATTGGGGATATGATATTTCAATATATTTCATGTGATAACTTGGAAGAACATGGTGATGTTGAACGATTTTTGATGATTCTGCAGGGTATCCGCAAATGGGGGTGCTACATTTCACCTGACGCTGACGCCGTATTGCGCAGACACATTGTGACAACACATGGCGACTGACGACGCATTCCGACGCATTCCGACGACGCATTCCCTGTCGACACGTGGCGACTGACGACGCATTCCGACGACACATCCCCTGACGACGCATCCTACCTTAATGACTGACGACTGACGGCGCATTCCCTGTCCTGCCCTGGCGACACATGGCGACTGACAACACATTGTGACGACGCTTTCCCTGAACAGCCTCCACTTTCGTTGCGGTCTCTCGTCTCATAACAGCATTTGCTCTTTCGTTATACAGCACCTCTCCTCTCCTTTCGATACCACCCCTCTCCCTTCGTAAAAGAGCACCCCTGCCTTTGCAACAGCACCGTGTCTTCGGAGAAAGTGTCTTTTCGTCTTTGTCTTCGCTGGGCAGCGCGTCTTCACAGAAAATGTCTTCGTCTTTGTCTTCGCTCGGGAATTCGGCTTTGCCGGGGAATTCGTCTTCGGGGGAAGTGTCTTCGTCTTCCTCTTTGCTGGGGAATTTGTCTTCTCTGGGAAATTCGTCTTCGCTGCGGAATTTGTCTTCGGGGAAAATGTCTTCGACTCTTCGTCTTCGCAGGGGAATTCGTCGGGGAACATGTCTTCGTTTTTTGTGGGGAATTCGTCTGCGCCAGTGGGGAAATTGTCTGCGAAATTCGTCTTCGTCTTCAAGTGGAATGTTCCACCCCCCACGCGGGCACAATGTGATTCTGAATGATTTGAATGGGTGAATGCTGGTTAGTAACTGGTATTATTTGGGCTTGTTTTGGGATGCAATTCAGCAGCGTCAAGTCAGCCTATTTGACATGGGAGATTTGATGGTAGAATTTTGGCAAGGTGTGGGATTCTGATTGGAACATCCCCACTTTATGGATCTTTATGGAATAATGATCTCCCAGTTGATCATGGAAGGGGATGACCATCAACACTTGGGGATCCAACAGCCCATTTCATCCATCATCAACTGGTGGTTGAGCCTGAGCCACCCCTTTGAAGATTTAAGGAGAAAAAACCCAGGCAGACTCAAAGGGGATATCCACCAAGAATTCAACCGATAATTTGGGATTCAACAACAGGTTGTCACTGCTATTTAACGTTTGCAGCCACAATTTGGCCTGGTCCCCAGGTTGTTCTTTCACCACACACAACTCTCCCATTTTGAGACCAAACCCCAAATTCTGCTAGGTGACAGGGATTGGGACGACACCTCAAGTGAGTACCTGCTCAGGGGCTCGGATATAACCCTTTAATATTATCCTATATATTGATAATATGATGAAAGGATAATATTATTATAACATTGATAATCATACCCTTTAATATATCCTGATCATAATCAGCTGCAATGATCGGGATATGCATTGAGGGGTTTTGCCTCTGGGAAAAGCGGGTTGCTCTTCTCGAGCTTTTTTCTCCTTGTCCGCCTTAGTGATGCGTCAAGCTCTCGCCAAATTCTTCTTTTTTCGTGCTTCCTTTGCGTTCTTTCTTTTTTCTTCCTGTCTTTTCTTTCTTTTTTTTTTCTTTCTTTCTTTCGTTCTTTCTTTCGTTCTTTCTTTCTTTCTTTCTTTCGTTCTTTCTTTTTTTTCTTTCTTTCTTTCTCTTTCTTTCTCTTTCTTTCTTTCCTTTTTGTTGTTTTCTTTTCTTCTTTCCTTGCTTTCTTTCTTTTTCTCGTGGGGGCCCAGCTGAGCTCTGGGCTTTCCTTTTTCTGTCCTTTTCGAGGGCGGCCGCACGCGCCAGCCGGACCTGGCGTTTGCATCGGCGACGCGTCGGGCGTCTCGAACTCTCTCAATTTTCCCGCGCGCCTCAGGGTCCTGGCTTTGTGAGGCTTGTTGGCGCAGTTCTCTGCGCCGTTTGTTTCGGGCTCTGGTCTTTTCCTCTTGGCTTTTTCGTTTTGCCTGCCGCGGCGCCGCGTCCGCTGGCTGGCTGCATTCGCGACAGGACAGCTTCTTCCGCCGGCCGAGCCTCTGCTTGCTTCTCTTCCTCCGCCCGCTTCTTTTCCGCGCGTTTTTCTGCCGCCCGTGCCGCCCTCGTTGCCTGCACGGCGGAGCGTTGACTGTCTGTTTTTTTTTTGTGTGTTTCATCTAGTTTCATCGGCCTCGGCTGTTGGTGCATCCAGGCCCGGATGCACTGGCTTGAGGAGCAGCCAAGCGTGTAGCTCGGGGAGCCACGCTTGCACTGCATCCTCAGAAACGCCCAAGGCCTGTGCCTCGGTTAGCGCAAGTCGGTGCGCGTCGCCCTTGCCGCTCTCCTGATTTAGCGGTTAGCGGGCTGAGGCCCGCGCCAGTTGTGCTACCAGAGCTGCGCCGTTCTCTGGTAGCAACGGGTTTAAGCTCCATGTACGAACTAAGAGTTTTCAAATCCGGATTTTCTGGATCCCAGGAAATCTCATCTGCGACTAGGATCGACTAGGTACATTTACCCGCCATAGCAAAAAAACATCACCAACCTTCACCCAAGCAAAAATCTGCCAGTAAAAACATTACCATATCCCAAAATCTTGCTGAATTTCCCCATATTTCCCCATATTTCCCATGGCCTTTTCCAGCCTTTTCCAGCCCCAACCCCCACCTGCTCGAACCAGTCGTTGACGGCCAACTGCTGCAGTGCCTCCCCCGCAATGCTTTGCATGACCTGACGGATCCGAGGGATCCGGGCTCCGTCCAGGTGGTGTGGAACTCACGTGAGGAATCTCTGTGGTGCTGTTTATCTATATATATATATATATTCCCCAAAATTGTACAATTTTTGGGAAATCGTAAAATTTCCCCAGATCTAGGCTTAGTTGGTATATATATCTGGTTGATTATCCCTATATTATATATATATATATCATACTAAAAATGGGTAACATTTTCAGGGTCTATGTTCATTTACCAGATGGTATTTCTATACTGGTTGGTGGTTTTAACCATCTTGAAAAATATGAAAGTCAATGGGAAGGATGACATCCCATATATTATGAACAATAAAACATGTTTGAAACCACCAACCAGATATATATATATATATATGTAAGTATACATGTAAGTACATAGAATATGAGTGCAATATATATATATATATAGTACACACATAATATCATCATGTATATATATAATATAGATATATCCATATATTTTTATCAGCAGCAACCTTTGGATATGGCTCCAACTTCAGTGACCCAACATGGATTGGGACTGGGTCGACTAAAGAACACGACCCGCGTTTATCCACACAATAAAGGACCCTTGAGCCTTGTTGCCGAGTGTTTTCACCAGTCTTCCTCAATTTTTGGAATACCCTCTGGCATTTTAACAGTTGGTGTTTAATAGCCAAACATACCATAATATTCATATACGTAATAAAGCCGTCTATGAATGGGCCGTTTTTCATAGCTCTGAAATCATTGGGTGACGTACTCATTTGCCAATGACAATTCAACCATCTGCAACCACCAGGATTTTCGCGGGGTGTTGATTTTCGTGAAGAAAACTGGTTGGTGGTTGACCTACCCCTCTGAAAAATAGAAAAGTCAGTTGGGATGATGACATTCCCAACTGAATGGGAAAGTCACTTAAAATTCCATGGTTTCAAAGCACCAAGCAGTAATTCTATACATATATGGATACAAAAGCCATATTAATGGTGTTGATTCTGCTGTTGATGATTGTGAAGAAAAGCTAGAAATCCCACCCAAGCATAGACGAGACGTTTCGCCAACGTTCCGTTCCAGGCCTTTTCCAGGGGCCACATCTCCAGGCTACTCGCTTCTCTTGCCGCCAAAGAGTTCGCAGCCTGTCGAAACCTCGGTCGACCAAAAAGAGACGTCTCTGGGCAAACAACAGGGAGGGTAAAACATGGTAAAACCATCTCAAAACACTAAGGATCTAGATCGACATAGATAGTATAGACTATAACTTGGGAGGGTAAAACCATCTCAAAACACGAAGTGATAGCATAGACATGGACGAACTAACCTCCGATAATTCAACATAGCTTTCTGGACGGTCCATCTCTGATTTGTAGATGATTTGCCGATTGAAAATTGGTCAAGCTGTCTGTTGCAAGGTGAAATTGCCGGAGGGTAACTGACTGCTAGTATGGCTTGGTTTTTGCAGGGTCATCCTTCAGTTTCACCTGTGAAGGCTGCTGAAGACCTCTGAGTGGCTTCTCCAGTTGTAATCTTTCCCAACTGGGGGTTGCAAGATTTCCCAAACCAAACCGGTGCCGCTTGCGGATGATTTCCCCTCCCAAAACTCATCGATTTGGTTTTCAGTCAGGCCGCTGGCAGCCTGGATTTTTTCGATCATAAAAACATATAAAAACCAAGCAACTTTGCGCGAATTCCTTTTTTGGCATCCTTTACCTCCGCTTCACCTGAGGGAAAAACATCCGCACATCACAAAAAAGGCAGTTGGGATCATCCCGGGGATGTTTGTTCGAAGCAAATGAGGTCAGAAAACAGCATCATTCATTATCATATCATTCATTATCAATATAATAACCCTTAAATAACATTAATAAGATCTATGTAAGTATCACAATTACCAACTACAACATACAACTATATAATAAGTGTATATAAGTGTAATATCTAATAATCTGGGTAAATTATAATATTTCACTAACCTGAATTAAGGCCATTTGGGGATGATTTCCCTTACTAACTATGATTTCCAGTGAGGTCGCAGTGAGGTCGTTATAATTTACCCAGAATAATTAACAATCATCACCATCTCAAAAGAGTGGTGGCTTCCCTCGGCTGCAGGCTTTGGTATTGATGCTCCACTTCAGCAAATGCCTGAAGTCCAGGGTGTTGAGACGACTACCGTTGGATGACCCACACCCACACCCTAGCGCCGTAGCACATATCATAACTGGTTGGTGGTATACCTACCCCTCTGAAAAATATGAGTGAGTAACAGTTGGGATGATGAAATTCCCAATATATATATGGAAAAATAAAACATGTTCCAAACCACCAGCCAGATAATATATTATAATCTATTGACATCTATTGTAGACAGCATTGTTGAGTATTGCCCAGAAAAAATGCAATTCGACCAAATGCAATTCGACCTTCGGTATCCTTCGGTTGCTTAGGCTTCTAATTCTAAGAAGATGTCTCAGATTGTTTCAAGCCCTTAGCCCCACGACAACGTGCACCTCGTCAACCACGGCGGCAAAGCTCATTGCTGCCCACTGGTGCGGAGCAAAAAAAAAGCTGCGGCGGGGTCTCCCTGCAGTTGTCTCAATCCCGGCTCAGCAAGGATTCAAAATCCAGTTTTATAATGTTTTAACATGTTTTCTCACAATCTACCGGTAATCAAACATGGCTGGGAAATTGCCTAAATCAAGGTTTATAAAGTTTATAGCTGGGAAAATCATCGAACTAAATGGATCTAAATGGGTGACTTTCCAGCACGCCGTCTCAATGCACAGCTCATCAACCAGCGCACTCTAGACATTGAATGGCCACAAGGACGGCCCTGGTTCTCCAAGAATGGGCTACCCCCAAACCAAGGCTTCAGTTTTTCATCCGTTTTTCCCCATTTTTAACATCATGACGAATATGTAAATGATGCAAATGACAACAACTTAAGCCTATCCACCATTCTTTCGATTCTTTGGCCTTAGCTTAACTCCACCATTTTTTGCTCGAAATCGCAGTCTGGCGACAGCCAAAGCTCGACCAAAGGCCATAAATTTGGGCGCCATTTTTGGTGAGACGATTTTGGGACCGGCAAAAGGATGAAGGGACTCTGACATCTGCGACTCATGAGAAAATCATTTGTGTTTGTCATAGTTTGTCCATGAACTAGGGCAAGAATGTCATAATCAAAATGCTAGTGTGATCTAATGTGTTCTGCTTTTTGTTTCAGCATTTCTGGGGAAACTCATATATGATCCTTCTGAGCCCACTTGTTGAATCTGTTGATCCCTGATTGATCTAGTATCACAAAATGCAGTAATAGACTTCCTCCACCAACAGGGAAGGGCTTGAATGCGCTGGATGCCTTTGTCTCCCAAAAGCATGCAGTACCGTTGGATTATTTGGATATCTACCATCGACGTTTGGGGTGAATGATTTTGACCTATATCCCCATGAGCCAGCAACTTAGAACAAGTTGAAAAGTTGGAAATTCTATCTGAAGATACCTCTTAATCTGAGAATACTTGGAAGCTCATTTGTCAAAGATGCTGTGTGGAGATAGAATACACTTCACATCTTTCGAGATAAACAATTGGTGGAGGTTGCTGGCCACTTGCTTCTGTTTGAGTCCAAGCCTAGTCATGCTAAGATTCCAATATGTCAGGATAGTCCAAATATCATGTCTAGACTCTAGACAATCTGAACAGGTTGAGCATTTTTATGGATCCGTTGCTACTCCAACTTTGACCAGTCCCGCATGTCTCATCTCAAAGTTTGTCATCGAATGTCCTAGAGTCATACTAATACAAGGTGAACCCTCCAGTTATGTTTGTTGCTTTCTCAACCCATTGACCATATATATATATAATTAAATATATATTATATAATATAATATAATATAATATTATATAATATTATATAATATTATATAATATTATATAATATAATATTATACAGTGATACTCCCCACAAACCCAAACGTTAACCAAACGATGCAAGTCACCTCCAGCCCTTGAACAGTCAACTCGCAGCTCGCGCTGCTCGTCTCACTTTCTGCGTTTGTGAATCAGTTGAAAAAAACGTTCGAAAATCGACCAAGGAAGATCCGCATCTTTCACCTTTCGCTCTGACAACTCAGATGCCGTTGGATAGGGAGATTCTGGGGAGAAATGCGGAAAGTGACTTAGGAAAATGGTGGACACATGGTGATTCCGAAATGGGTCCTTTTCGACATTTTTCAGACCCACTTGGACTCAAACAATGGACGCCAGCCGCCAGTTGGTCACCAGTTTGTGTTTCATCTCAGACTGGATCAATGACTGTATCTGAAAAACCAATGGTTGCTTATATGTGGATCTATTTCACCATAGTTTTGCAGTTATCGGGGTTATATATATCCCAACTTTTGGGGTCTTCTAGGTTTTATCCCAGGCTGCAGATCAGCTTGCACCTTGGCCTTAAACTCTTGAAGCTTCTCCTGATCTCCGACAAACACAGCTTGCGTGCCATGGTTCTTGCGTGTACATCATGCTGTACTGGCTTACAATGATCCATGGCATCTATGGATACATGTGTTTCTTTCATATGACTGGTTTACACACTCGATGATACTTATCCATACTATACTGTAGACCATAATCTTTAACAAAAACCACACATTTTTTTTGCTGATACAGTATGCAGATTCCACTGGGTCACAATCATCACATAGACATGGTCGATTGGACATTTCGACTCAAGCCCCCATTTGTATCTCAGGAAAAGGGATTGTAGGGCGGCAGCGCCGGGATTGGCTCTCGCACGGTAGCGGAGCTCTGCCAGCAAGGTCGTTGCTGGCATCTCCAGAAAGATCCAGGGTGAGAGATCATGAGCTATCTCAGGTTTACGAAAGAAGGAGTGCCGATCTTCGATGGCACATCAGAGCACTACATTCCGTACGGGCGTGCAGCTCTCAACTATGTGGAGACGCTGGAGTGGAAGAAGCGTAGTTTGGCAGGCCCGAGACTTCAGGCCGCCCTGGAGGGCACTGCAAGGGTTGCGGTCCAAGACCAGGTGCCAGGCTGGATCAGCCATGAAATGGGGGCTCAGCAACTCCTTGACTACCTCAAGACCAAGGTGACTCCTCCGACTTTGGCAGAAGCCGGAAAAATGATCACTCGTTTCTTTTACTCCATCAAGCGTCGGCGAGGGGAATCAATGAACCATTGGATCCTCCGCCACGACGATCGAAGCCCGTCGGACCTTGGCTGAAGCCATCCAGGAATATGGACCCCTCGGGACATCGACAAGAACCCGATTGAGCTCTACGAAAAGCCAATGTGGAGCAGAAGGCGATCCAGGTGCTGAATCTCAACAAAGTTCTCCACCTGGAGATGGCAATGGTCCATTTGACTCCAAGGGTCTGCTTTGTGAGGATGACGATGTGGAACTTGGAGACTCAGCCTCAGCTGCTCACGACTCTTGGCAAGGATACCACAGAGACCAGGGCTGGTGGTGGTCAGACTATCATGGGAGCTGGGACTCATGGTCCTGGAGAGGATGGCATCAACCAAAGCCATCCCAGCCTACGAGCTCGACGCAGGGCAAGTATGATGTGTCAGTGACTGCCTCGGTGGAAGCTGACAAATTCCTTCCAGATTTTGTGGTGGCATGGATGCTCCTCCAACGGTCTGGGTTGGACGGCACTGAGCGAGGAACCATCATCGCCAACTTGAAGAACCAGTTCACCACGATCCGAGTCAAGGATGCACTTCGACTTGCCTGGCCAGAGGAAGATCTGAAGAAGCGAGATATGGCTCGAGGCGCCGCTCTCATGGTGGAGGATGAGGATGACGAAGCCCTGATGAATGACATGGACACGGGCCCACCGAATGACCTGACCCAGGAGAAAGAGTATGAGTACGGCTATCTCGTCAAAGATGTTGAAGAGGCCTACCAGACCTTCCAGATGGCTCGAAGGACTCTTCGAGATGCAAGAGAGAAACAATCTCTCTTCAAGAAGAGCCGCCAGTTCTTCCCCATGAAGAGGAACTTCGGCAATGATCGATCCAAAGGAGACTCAAAGGGGTCCATCAAGAAGTGTTTTCGATGCAATGGCGAT